ATATATATATATATATATATATATATAGGCATACATTTCTATACATATTTCTATGTAAGATCAGCTGCAAGCGACTTAGGAACTTAAGAACGTATCTTAAAAATAAACTAATAAATGTTAATAATTAATATTAAGCAAATTAACAAAACTCGTGAACCTTGTGCTGTTTTAAAGCTATGGTGATTATCTGTCAATCTGCAAGTGGACACTCAACACAAAACCTTATACAGCACTGTGGATCTAACAGGTTATTTTACGTCTCCAATTTCCTTTTATCGTTCAGCATAAATAATTCGTTATTACAATCAGACAAGTTTTAAAAAATGTTTTAAAATAGGCCTACTCACATCCAAAAATATTGACATTCCTTTCTTCAACTCGATGGGAGTGCTGGCTTCATCTGAGAGAGACTGTACCTCTTCAGAGCAATCCATAGTGATTCCTTCTGGTGAATAATTATCTAACTGAAACTCTTTACTTCAGGTATAGTAATAAGCCTTAATTTGTCCACACAAGTGCGCGTGCAGGGAGAAGGAGCGTGCGTTCTGCTCTGTGTCTCTGTAAGGACTCTCCGCTGGACTCCAGTGATGAGCCACAGGTCTCCTGATGCTGCGCGGAGCACCAATCACATTCGCTTTGAGCTGTGCTATCACGCTAGTCAATAGTCCCTATACCTGTCTCAGCGGGGATAAACAATTGTGATGTTTTATGATGTGTTTCTTCATGTTTGTTTGGACGCAAATGACAGAATAATGGAAAACTTGCAAAAAAAATAGTATCTTAATAACGTCGTGATCGTGTGCCTGCCATTAAGTTCATTCGTGTAATTAAATAGCTAGTGTCTAACACAGGAGAGTAAAATTTAAGGCATAGTTCATCGCAACAATGACAATTTTGCCATCATGTCACCATTTATCACTCTCATCATGTCGTTCTAAATATGACTTGCTTTCTTTCACTTGCAAAAAAGAGAAATTCTGAAGAATGCTAGTCGCTCGTTCCACAGAATGAAAACGGTGTAGAAAGATGTCCGCATTAAAATGCAATAACGGTAGGCTAATGCTCACTGATATTTTCCCTACAACAATAGGATAAGTACATATTGACATGATTTTACATTCGTAAACTATATTCCTTTAAGTGGTCATAGCACAGTTCTAAATACACTCGCGCGCGTTAAGCAGGATTATGTTCACACACAGTACGTATTTTCTTACAGAAAAAAAAGTAATTCACCTATTAACCATTTGAAAAGTCCTTTCTACCTTCCTATCTTTAAAAAAATAGTAAACGCAATTTACTGTGAAATGAAATTCACTTTAAACCTTGATGACGGAAGGCAATTCCTTGAAATGAAGCACAAAAATCTTTCAGTGAATTAAAGGTGAAACAGCAGCGACATCTTGTGGTAAAACATGCCAATAACATAAGCATCATGTTAAAGAGAAATGTACCTTTGAAGCACTTAAATATTAGCTGGATATGATATTATTGTTAAATAACATAGCCTATTTGTAACAAAACATGTCCCAAACTTTTGCCTGGCACCATTTCAATTTTCAAATGAATCAGTGTAATCACAAAATTACATTAGTTTGGTAGCAATTACTAGTCTCGAGTTAAAGCTCATTAATAGGGCCGCTGCTAAATCACACAAAAACACACCCACAAAAACTAACACAGAATTAAATAAGCAACTCACTGACCCAGCCACATTAAAAGACTGTCTGTGGTTTATGATATGTGGTTATTAATATGTGGTTATTAAACTGGAACCACTTGACAAAGGCCAATACACAAAGACTCATAATCTGTTGTAAGGAGAACAAAACCATTAACCTTGAGCAGAGTGCTTATAAATGTACTGTGGCCAGATGAGTCATGTTTCTACATTCATACACAAGCCAACTGTTGCCTTCAACCCTCAATGTCTAAAATCACAGACTATCTGTAATGACATGGCAGACATGTCTGATGATTGCTAAATGAATGGCTATGATGCAAACCCTGTGCTCTGATAATATTCCCATAAATACTGATAAAATCATTCAAAAGTGGTTTCATGAAAACCAGGGTAAAGTCCAATGCCTCCATAACCTTCCATCCATTCATCTTTTATGGTTCATTCTAGTGTGAAGTGTGCAAAAAAGGACACCACCTTCATCTGGGAGAGAACCAGCGCTTATCTTCTCATGATCAGGGCCGAATTTACGCATAGGCATTCTAGGCACGTGCCTATGTTAGCTCGTCCAGGGGGGCCCAAACACAATGAAGAGATATATAATATTTTTGTTATACTATGGGCTATCTACAACTATAAAAGAACCAAAACCCCAGAAGATATTGAGCAAATAAATATAATAAACAATAGGGTAAAAAATGACAAACTATTTCCATGTCTTCCACCTTTTTTATGTAGGCTACGGAAATCACGCTTTCTTTCTCCC